CGGCGACTTTTCTGTGGTTGTTTATCAGAGTTAGGGAGAATCTCGCTCGTAGCAGAGCATGGTCTGCGTCGAAGGGTGTTGGCCAGTAGGAACGGCAGGCCACAATGAATCCACACCAGCGATGGCTGATGGCGATGTGGTCGATTTGAGTCCAGCACTGTGAGGTGGTTGGCGATCTCCATGTAAGGCGATATCGTTTCTTGTGTAAGAAGTTGGTGCTGGACAGAAACAGTTCGTGGTCAGCGCAGAGTTGGAGCAGGCGTTCTCCGTTGTCATTCCTGTTGGTTAGGATTGCATGTGAACCACGAAGTAGCCTTTCTGATTCGTCCAGGGATCCCACTTGAGCAATGAAGTCTCCAGCGACCACCACGATGTCCGTTAACCGAGCACTTTGGATCAGTTGAGAGAGATCCTTGTAGAATTCATCCTTCACTTCTGGCATACTGCAACCAGTTGGTGCATAGGCGGATACGACGAAAAAACACCGACGCTTCGTTCCGTAGTTCTGATCCGTAGTGAACCATCCAAACGTACAGCGCAAACTCGGCTGCTAACCGGGATCCAATCGGAAGAGCAATGCTGAGGTTAGGCGTAGAGTTTTAGGTAATCGCGGTCGTCCACTGGAACAGGTAGTCGACCTTCAAAGATTACGCTGGTTGGGACATGTGCTACGCATGTCATCAAATAGGTTGCCATGGCGAGCGATGTTTGCCGAGGCAGGTAGCGGTTGAAAAAAAGCCAAGGGCGACCATACTAAGACCTGGCATGAGGGTATTAGAACCCTGACCAGGAGACTGACTCACAGAGGTCCCGTTGGGCTCCCAGAGATCATGGTCACCGATGGTTAGACACTGAGCGACATGGCGGGGGGTCACAAACAGTGGCGCTCATGCATCTACTCAGTATTCTTGTAGCATCGGTCTATATTCATTCTCCAGTTTCTGCTTTGATTCGCTCTCAACATTCCAATTCTCATTCTGCTGTTCTTTATATTATATATATTTGCCATGGAATTGTAGGCACGTGTTGTTCCAACGCCACAACAATAACAAAATAACTATAATATGAGGCAGATGGTTTGGAATACAGAACAAAATGGATAGGTGAAACAGTTAAAAGGGAGATAACTGGAATAAGAAAAAAGTTTCACCGTAAACTTTGTGATATCTTTTGTGTTATTTTTGTCATTTTTTACGGGGCACGGGATTTTGACAAGCAGACCGTACAGCATTCTCGCTACTGACTCATATTCTGGGTCATATCTCTGAGCGTCTCCAACCAACGACGATTCCAATCCCTCGTGCCTCGACCGAATTCAAAGCTGAGGCCAGCTTCTTTATGCCTCTACGCCATGTTATGGTCTGATCGCCACGGCGCTTCTTCAAGCCTTAGCTGGCATATGCAAAGAGAGCATGGTAGTCGATGGGCAGGCATACACAGTACGTGACCAAGCCACCGGAGGTGGTGTAG